ATCACAGTTTGAGATCCAAGCTCGATCTAGGATACGCAGATCCAAATCCATATCCATGGAGTCGAGGACCAAAAACTTACTATGCCCAATGAGAACTGAGAAGAAACCCCCTTTTGATTTTTGCTTTGGGAAAATTACCGAGTACATGTCCCGAATATAACCCCGATTTTTATTTTCCCCTCCCGAATTAGTAGGATAGAGATGGCACCGTAGGATTATGGCAACTTTCACACCGCATATGTGAGTCAAAAGAAGCAAAAAGAAACAAGACACAGTATATTTTCCTCCGGAACCCAAGATCCCACCGGAAGAGTCAGGGCATTATTGCCTCCTCGCAAAGTCTTGCTCGGTCGATACCTCTTCCACGGGGTTCTTGTTGAGACTTTCGTACAGCTGGAGGTAGCTGCCGATCAAGAAAGCCCAGGAGCCCCTGTTGACCATTCGAGGCTCAAGAGTCAGCAATACAGAATTCTCGAAAAGAGCAAAAGGATCAATGCATGCACTTGTGACTTGATTTCTCATCGCAGGAGAATATAGGAAAGATCGTCTCGCTTGGTCGTGGGCACCAGGAGAGAGGGGGCAGAAAGAACGTACCAAAAGGTGGCCAACCCAGCCTCGTACTGCGCCCCAGAGTTTTTATACGCCATACCCAAACATCCACAAAGCGTGAAGCCAAACGCCCCCACAAGGTTCCAAAAAGCAATGTGCCACCCCAGCAGGTGCGGCGCCGGTTTGTACCATTTCTGCTGCGTCTCGAGCATGTACAAGGTGCTGCTGACGATGAAGCCACTGCCGCCAATCACCTGTGGAATCCAGTATGCCGCATTGAGCCGCCACTGGGGCGTCAAGTGATTGATGATGCCGGGCAGGGCGGTAATGCCAGAGATGCCAAAGACGGTCGCGCCAAAGAGTTGGGCAGAGCCGGCAAGGAAACCCAGCTCGTGAAAGTAATGCGTCCGCAGATCGTGCCACGACGGGAACCACTGCCAGGCCTTTTTGCCGCCCTTGTCAGGTGACTGCGCGTCGCCGACGGCCAGTTTCGACGGCTTCCCGACCATATTGTGCCGATTTTGGTGATGATGAAGACAGCGGTGACGATTGGCCACGACTCGGAGTCTTGCTGCCCCGTGTTTCTGCTGCCCGTCGTCGTCCAACAGCTGCTCAACCGCCCAGCCGAAACAGCCAGTGTTGTTGGCATTGATTGCCTCAAATATCAAAAGGACAGAGCCCACTTCGAAGAAGAGGATGGCCCCGATGAATGCTGTGACACCTCCCCCGTAGTAAATTTCGCCGTCAAATTCAGTCGAGGGGGCCACAACCGGAAGCCAGACGAAGAATCCCTAGATGGCCAGCACAAAGCGGTTAGTTGGTTCAGTGCGCGGCTCGAACCCCTTGGACATCTTTAGAGGCAAAGCGTACATTCATAACCCAGACGACACTCCCCCAGGTGAAGATGAAAGCGACGAGCCACGAGATATCCCAGACTGGATAGTACGTAAAAGTTTTGACAATGTTTTTGAGGACCTCTCTTGGATCCGACGTTCGTCTCGGGGTGACAAAATATGCCTCTTCTCCAGGCTTGGGTCTTTGCACGAGCAAAGGGTGCCGACCTTTTCGGTTGTCTCGCGATCGCCATAGAAACCTGATGTTCTTTGCGGGGACGTCGGAACGGGCACGGCCCTGGTGGGTTTCATGTTCGACTTCATCATGCACGTTTTCCTGCGAAGTCTCAACGTCCTCGGTCGTCTTCTTGGAGAGAGCTCCGGAATGGTCGAAATGTGCCCGGGTAGGATTAAGGAAACCAAAGGGACCCTCGGCGCGTTGCAGTGTCAGTCTATTGTCATGCCGGAATGGCTCTCGCGTGCGGAAATGCCTATTGCGAGGGGGCATTGTGGTGAAGTTGGAGGTGTAGCCAGGTGTAGGTGTAGGTGTTTTGTCGGAAGTCCGGGTGTTATTGGTGGCTTCGAGTGGCTGTCGCGCCGATGTATCCTTCCATTACCCGCCGGGGACGATTAATGATGACAAGGACAAGGGGGATTAAGATGCATGGATACACGAACTTGAAATATTGGCCCTGTTTGGCCCCTTCCTGCGTCGCGGGGGTTGAAATTAAATAATAAATGCAAAAAAAACCTTGAAGTTGGTTGTGACGACGCCGCAAATAATAATGTTTTAGGCTGTTCAGCTTCCCCATTCGCGAGACAAAACAACAACCACAACCATCACCACCACATCAAGTCAACGACTCATCAGGCCAAGAATGTGGCTTGATTCCTCCTTTAAGATCCTAAGCGGCTCATCAAATGGGCGTCCAGAATCGCTTCACTCCTCTGCCACTTGTTGCTTGATTCGAACATTGCCATGGCTCCCTTTGCCACCCTGGGTGCCTGGGTTGCTTACTGAGCCACTCAAAGATGCTGACTGGGGACCGCCTATACTACTACTGTACATACTTGTTCTTTACCATTCCATGCAGAGTTCCTGTCACAAAGAGGGGTTCGCGATCCTTAAATTCAGGGACGAGGACCTCGAATCGAGCTCCAACGCAGCTGACAGCGATGCGAGATGCATGATCATCCGGATCTCGTGATTCTGGCCCCTAGAGAGTGTCCTTGCAAGAGCGAGATATCAATCAACACCATGTCGTGACGTATATAAAGCTACACAACTACAGCCAGGGTGTCCTGCGTCCGGGTTTCCCCTATAAAATAGATATCGTGCTGGTTTATATCGGGAGCCCATGTCCATCGCATACAAGATGTTTCCAGTGCGAGCAACCCTCGTGCGCTCGATTGTCTGGTCTGTGCCTCTGTAGCTTTGACAGGTGAGAGTGTGTCTAAAACCCTCCGAATGGGCATGCGAAGGCTTCAAGTCCCTACTCTTCAATCATTCCGGCGTTGTCGTCATCCAGGAGCTTTCACGATGAAGAAACGATTCGCCATGATGCACCAAGCCTGCATCATGACCACGTCGGGCGGCGTAAAGACGTTGAGACAAAGATGGCGATGATGGAGGTTCTAGAGTGACAAGCTTTGGCTACTCCTTCCAGTAAAGAGTTACCTGCTCGACCGTACTACGGGCGAGTATTGTGAGGCGAACATATCGACTGGAGAACAATTCACGAAAGAACCGCTCTTCGAGTCTGAAATACTGCGAGCCGAAAGATCCGGCCTCGCTCAAAGTATGACAGTGCCCGATATTCACTTGTGTAGCGTAGAACATGGGCCAACCCTTTGACCCAATGTATCCGGGCCTTTTCTTTGCCGGCAAGGAATACTTGTTTTATCATATCCGAATTTAACCCCATACACGGATTCGACGTCGAATACGACCGGTCATCTTCCAGGGCGAGATTGGGAGTCACTCAGGTCCTCCGCCGATGAAGCGGACGACAAGTTTCTTCCCTCACTGACCTGTTTCATGACTCTTTCAAGGGTTGGAAAGATTCCCATTGCAAACCCACCAATAGGAATGTAGAAGAAGATGGGGATCTCCTCATGCAGGGCAGGGATTTCTTCATTCCGTTTCCAGTCTAGGCCGATCAGCCTCAGAAACGAGTCCCCACAATGGCCCTCTGTGGTCAGGAAGTGACAACAAGAGAGGCCATATCTCACCGATGGCAGCCTTCATGCTGGATTCAACGGGGCATAGACTTGAGACACGGTCCTTTGGCTTCGGACGAAGTAGTGGCTTTCGGTGGAACACAGTGGGCCGAGTCCAGGAAACGTTGTCTATATAATGGGCTGTGGCCTACAACAGTTACCATCTTCTTCCCAAGCCTTCTCCTCAGATCACTCTTCTCTAGACAAAAGCAATCTTCGCCCTTCCCTATCCAGAGTCATCACCGGCCTCTTAAATTATATCTCGTCGTCATGTCGCCAGACACGCTCTCTTTGAATGGCAAAGTCGCCATCATTACCGGATCAGGCAAAGAAAATGGTATCGGTGCAGGCATTGCTTCCACCCTGGCGCGCAACGGTGCCTCGGTAGTTATCAACTACGTCTCCGACACATCTGCGCCCCGCGCTGCTGAGGTGGCTCAGAATATTAAAAATGCTGGAGGCAGGGCCACGGTTGTGCAGGCGGACGTATCGACCCAAGAGGGTGCCAAAAAACTCGTCGAGGCATCGCTCATGGCTTTCCAGTCAGACAAAGTCGATATCCTGGGTGCGTGGCACTTTAGGCTTCCCTCTTCTCATTCCTTTCTGCACATCTCTTCGAGGGCTGACAGGGGAACGCATTATGGCTCGCAGTGAACAATGCAGGTGGAGGCCCTCTCGTCAAAGTCCTGGAAGCGACAAAAGAGGAAGTGGAAAAGACGTTTGCAATCAACACCTTCGCCTCGCTGTATATGACACAAGCAGTGGTTCCCGTCATGCCTCGAGGGGGCCGCATCATCAACATTGGCTCCATTGCTTCGAAGCTGGGCGTGTCGCCGATTCCGTTGTATAGTGCATCCAAAGCAGCGGGGGATGCGCTGTCTTATGCTATGGCCATGGAGGTATGTATGACCATCGTCGACTGTAATTGATGGCTTTCCCAATATTGCTCTCTTCGCAAACATCTTGGACAACGGTTAACGTGTTTCATTTCAGCTCGGACGTGGATATGGAATCACAATCAACACAGTAGCTCCCGGACCTGTTCCAACAGGTAAGTAGCTTCTGGCAACAAATTGTTCATTCTTCCGGATCCGGCTTGGTTGGAGTTCGTGCCCGGGTCGTTCTCGTCAGACACTAACTTTTCGGGACAACACAGATGGTCTGCCTAAAGGCCCGGTGGCCGACGCAGTGCACAACTCTCTCATACCCATGACAAGGGCCGAAGAGAGAATGGGGACCGTTGACGATATCGCCGATGCGGTGCTGCTTCTTGCCTCGGAAAAGAGTCGATGGATTACAGGCCAGTTCATCTCAGCGAGTGGTGGAATCACGGGTGGATAGGACTTGACGCTTGGACAAGTTTGAGCAAATTCGAAAATTGAGCGAGGTCGGTGGAGTTCACCAGCAAGTGTGCTGAGATCTTGGGTAGTCTTCCTGGTCTGCTTCGGAGCAACACAAAGCATTATCAATCTCGAAAATGACTTTTGCGACACTCATCTCCATCAATTTATCAATCCAGATGAAACTTCGCGCACTTTCAACGGCGGCCTTGCCACTTTTGACTCCCATGGCTCTCATCACATTGAGTGTAGCCCTCGCATGCAGTAGATCGGGTTGGTCTGGCTGCAATGTAGCGACCATGATGATAGCCCAAAGGCTGAGTTCCGGAAAGTAAGTATCGATACGAGATGCCATGGGAACGAAAGTTGAGAATCGCTGTAGTAGTCCGGCGAGCTCATCAGCTATGAGTGCAAAGGCCTGTTTCACGCTGGCCACCACGATGAGCAAGGCGAGTCTGACCATCTCCTGAAGCACTGACTTCCGCAGGGTATGGCCAGGTGAAGTCGGATCAGTGAACCGTCGTAATGATAGAAGGAAATGGAGAACAGGTGTGATTCGGCTTGCTGCTGTGGCGCCGTCCTTCCAAAACAGAGGATTTCCTCCATTATTATTCACAAACATTATCAGATGTGCAGTGTTCTCAAGTGCGGTCGTCATGTCGAAAAGTCCCTCGGAGGAGTTACGAATCCGCATGAGGAGATCCGTCACCGATGGAGACAATACGTTGTCTTGGGCGCTCGCAGAGGACAGCCCAAAGGCAACCGGGAAGAGCGGCTTGCGGTCAAAAACAGAGGCACCAAGAATATCAAACCTGTAGGGGGTCAGTCATAACGCACTTCAGTCGTCTTTTTGCTCTAGCGGTTTGCCCATACCAACAGGTGAACATGACAATGGTACTGTTCAGAGTCTGAAAGCCGCCACGAACTTGGATAATATTATTGAGACCCTGCATATGGACACCGTATCGGTCCCATCTGCCGACATTAGACTATCGAAACAATTAGCACCAGAGCTGGATTCGAAGTCCAGGGAACCGACATCGTGACAGAGAAATCCCAAGACTGTAGTTATGACTCCGTCACTGATCTGATGAGATTCCCTTTCAAGTCTTTGAGCCACCCCATTGAGACACAGGCTGAGATACTTTGAGGACTCTTCAAAGTCACCGTACTCACAACCTTTGCGTTCAGTCATTTGATGGAAGAACAGCGCTGCGTTCGCCAAGGAGAGGTAGAATGCGGTACGGTCGATAACAGCCATTGCGAACCACTCATTTCGGAATGGTCGATAGAGGTAATCACCCTCGCTATGCACTAATCCAATAAACAAGAGAACTAGCCCAGATAGATCGGGGGAGAGGCGTACTGAAGTGGATCAATTGGCGGGCTCTACCGTCTGTTTCCACGGGGAATAAAGCATAGGGATGAAGAGAATAAGCTACATTCTCGTAGCAGTGCTGGTCTTGATGTGCCCCGTGAGAACATATCTCCGCGTCGTCCTCACTGGCACCATTGCCGACCTCAGCTGGAGGAAGCCTCACGGCGAAAGTAATGGATCTTGGAGGCTTTTTCCGCGATTCTCCAACGCGAGCCATGACATGGTGCCGAACGACCTTTTGGGTGCTTCTTCGTCTAGAGTCATCAGGATTGGATATGTTGATAAATGTGAAGTCTGCTGACTTCTCGCTGCACTTCTTTTTCAGCCCCATCTCAGCTGGATTGGTCCATAAATATGGAATGAAACTGACATGTTCAGAGGCGAGAAGTTGCGGGAGCCTTGAGGCAGCGAGTTCTGTCTGACTGAAAGGTGTCCGCGTCAGCGCACCCTACAGTGCATAATTAGAGGGAATATTATTGGGCGTTGTTCATGAATTTCTTGTCAGACGAGATTATTTCCACTCGCAGAGACACCAACCAATCGGAAACTTGACCTGTCAAGTTATCCAAGTCCTTTGTCGCGCGACTGAAAAAAAGTGTCGGCATCATTGAATATTCTCCCTCCATGCCATCCGACTGTATTTCACGTGGCTCATATATGGCTCTTTTCTTTCGCTGCACCCAGTGTTAGCGCTTCCTCACATGTCTTCCCATTCACTCCGTTCTTCGGGTCATGCTCAGATGGTTTGAGCAGCTTCCATCCAGAAGTCGGTTGTGTAGCCATCCAATTACTCCGCGTCTGTCGTTCTTCAAAGCTGGATCGAGTCCAAAGTTCGTCACTCCGAAACCTACGACGCGAAAGGCACTGTCATACTCCTCCCCCCTCCGAATCCGACGTCAAGATGCCTTGCGCCACCCATTCCGACCTCTATCCACTACAGCTCAGGTCAACAGGGCAAAGAAGAGCAAGGATGTGCGGAAAAACAACATCGATATGGCGATGTCATCGCAAAGAAGTCCCGAGGACTGGGTGGCCGAGATGGAGAGATTCCTTCCGCCGCACTTGAGTTGGCCAGATGATCTTGCATCTCCAACAATCATCCCACCAGAAGTGAATGTTGAGGATGTGCTTCGAACTCTTATTATGGCTCGGGATCAGAGCGATGTGGACGTTCTGGGCTTCATGGTTCTCCGTCAACGCCGACATAAAGCCGTTGTCCATCTCGTCGAAATCTTGCTGAAGGACGTAGCCCTAGCAGCTAATGAGCCTTTCAAAGATGAATTGCCATCCAACATAGACTGGCCGGCCGGCTCGTTTAAAAAGCTGGATGGTGCTCCCATTGAGCTAGAGCGTACGTTGCACGTTAGCCGACGACCGCTGGGTACTTCTCAGCAGTCCCTTGAGTGCTCTTTCTCAGAGAAGAGCCAGGAGATTACGATGGAGTTCACCTGGTCTCTTCTTGCCGACCTTGTGTTGGCTTCTACCAAGCGACCCTCAGACGAAGGAAAACAGATCATGGACACTGTGCATCAGATTTTGGCGCTCATCCACAAGCTGGGGCTCGTTCCAGCGACTATCTACACTTACAGCCTCCCACAGGGCACGACGACAATGCAACAATCGCCCATCCTTCATCTACTGCACTCGAGAATTCTGTCGACGCTGTCAGATGCTGTCTGGCTTTCCCATCGGGTCGAGGTTACGGCACGTGCTGGTAAATCGGAAAGCAGTCAGTGGAATATCTTTCGAGAGCCACCACCTGGCCCCTTGCGGTCAAGGAAGCGAGAGCTTGGACCAGAGGTGTGGCTGGAGTTCATCCTCTGGTGCTGCGTTGAGGCAGGATTGGCGGCGACGGGAGCTCGAATCATCCAGTCATTGCAGACAGATACAAGGGCTCCTTGGCAAGCCATTCACTGGCCTGATAATCAAGTGCCTTCAACAGACTGGGACCAACAGTTCCATAGAGGAAAACTGCAGCGTGAAGCGGGAGGCTATTACGGGGAACAACTTGAAGGCGACACTCCCCGAAAGTTCATCAGCACTGAAGTTGTTCTGGCCGTCGCTGACTGCCTGATAAACACCCTCGATGGGTCTCTTACAAACGCCAAAGCGTCTGTCATGAAAATCCAAGACGATATCAAAGACCTGATATCTTTTGCGGGTCCGCATGGTCTTGCGCCTGCGTATTTCGACTATGTGGCTGTTCGTCTTCTTCAGACGGAAAATTTATATGACATACACAAAGTCGATTCTCTCCGAAAGTTGGCGTCTACTATCTCAGTGCTTCGAGACCTGCATAATGTGGACCAGAACCATCGGCAGAGCCCTGCGCTTGACTTCGAGTCCATTCTGGACCGCTCCGAGCTGCATGCCGGGATCCTCCACCAAGCTCTGCAGGCCTGCGTCGAAGCGAATCTCGTCCGAAAGGCTGTCGACACCTTCACAGAAATCCAGAAGATGGTTGACGGCAACAAGCTTGAGGCCATTGGAGAATTTTTGTCACTTTCACTAAGTCCAGGCGATGGCTTCTTTACTTCCAGACATGGCAAAGGTCGCAGCGAATTCCTCAACACCTATGGGCAGCTTCCTACCCACAAATTACCTCCATTCCTTGATCTGGTGACGAATGCGAAGCTGTTTGGCTTGGGAGACTGGCTCCTCTTCTCAGAAGACGTTGACGGGGCTCTCTTGCCTGCTTCCACCTGGGGAAAACCGTCTGTTATGGCCGCTATAATCCGCTATGCATCGGCCAAGAACGACCCTCTTCTGGTCAGACATGTCTACAATATCAGCAGACGATCGGACAGAAAATTGACCGTGAGCGTCTTGAGAGCTTTGGTGGTGTATCATATCAATGCATGCGACTGGACAAATGCCGTTCTCAACCTTCGAGATCTACGACGTGCTGAAGGTGGTGGCTATAGCCCCAAGATTGTCGCCAGTCTCGCAGCTAAGATTTTAAACTTGGAGGTCGATCCGGTGGCCATGCAACAAGAAGATGCTGAGTCCGATCTTTCCCAGGCTCTCATGCTGCTTTGTAATATACTCGACGGCACTTACGACTCCCCGCCAGCAAGCTTCAGGATCGACCAAAAGAAAACCTTTCGACAACAAGTAGGATACCTCTTACGCCTTTTGGAAAATGTGACAGACAGCGAACTTACAGACACTGCCACTCGGTTCAAATCAAGATTTCCTGTTAGCAACGAACCAAACCTTCTCACAGATACGTTCAACGTTGTGTTTGGTGCAATCGTCGAGACCAAAGGTGTACTGGAAGGGCGCAATATGTGGCACTTATTCTGCAAAGATCCCAGGGACTATGCGACTTCATCCCTTGTGGTCGATGGCCAAGACTTTACATATGAGGACCACGCCAGAAACAACGATTATGATGAATACTTCGATGAGAGCCTGAGTGATGCGCCGAACGATTTGATCCACGTCGGCGAACATGTCGAAGACAATTCTAGCTCAATGATGAGAACGGTCGAGCCGCTCTCGATCTCCAATGCCACACACCATGCAGGAATTCAAGTTGCTGTTGTTTCTCCCGCCTCGCTCAACATCAATGCCGCATTACCACGCAATGAGTCAGGTTGGGAGAGCAACCAATATTCCAGCGAGTCAGGCACAGGGAGCGGAGACACCGACATTCCTATCGAGATGTCGGATACGGGCGTGGATCCAACGCAGCTAAATCCAATTGTCGTGCCCAACATGCGCACCTTGCAAATCCTTGTCAGAGGAGCTTTGTCTGAGATACAAGCCAGAAAAGAGCGCAAAAGAGGTCATACGGACCTCGATGCAGTCCTCAGATGGGCGGAGCAGTTCTACGGAGCGTTTAACCTGGCGCGTGAGGATATCGAAACTGAATTCCGGCTTTCCGAAGTCGTGCCGAGGAAATTGAAAATTGCTACGAAGCATCGCCGAGCAGCACACAGAACAACACGTGAGAAATACAAACTCGGTGTTGGCAAGCACTTTACCAAGGGAGCCTTTGTATCTAGACGTCCTGGGTCTCAACGACCGGCTCAGGCACCAGCCTTGAGAGAGGCATCCAACAATGTGACAAAACCTGCGGTGGACGAAATGGAGAAGGGCGAGACTCAAGATAAAGGCACACAGCCTGAGCCGGCGCCATTGCCGAACTTCAAGGTGCGGAAGTTCGCGACCTCCGTTCAACATGCTTAGGGTTAAGAATATGGAGTGGAGGTTCGTGAAGTGTAATCTAAGAGTCTACGATCTCCCATTGTACAATATTACGCACATGTGTTATCATCTTTAATACTTTCAAAAGTAGATCGACCCAGTAACACTCTTCCTCCACTGACCACGACACCGTAGCACTCATCAAATGCTGGAATCAGCATGGAACTGAAAGAGATGCTTGACTCTTGGCATCGACAAGGCTGGCGAGATAGGGGTACTTCTGTACATACTGTATGAGCAGAACTCCTCAGCAGAAATGTATAGATGAGTTCAGATTACATCAAGCACATTGAAGGGGGAGAGGGTTATGTACACAATGCGGGAAAAAGGTCTAGGGGAAGGAGGCCTCACCAGCCAGCTTCAAAGGAAGTAAAGTACGTCAATAGTCGGATCCGCAATCTCCTCCCTCCCTCCTCACCCCTCTCTCAATATCCCTACCGCTCTCCCCCCGCAAAAAGTCCAAGGTCCACAAGACAAAATGACATGGCATGCATGCATGCATGCGGGACAAAGGACAAAAGGACAACATCAGCTAGCAGCCAGTAGCTAGTGATGCCACCGATGCCACGCACGACGCCATGGCAATTTCCCCTCTTTTTTTGCGAGAATTCCTTATTGCCCTCTCTTCGCACGTGCCGCGTGCGAATCTAGGCTTTTCTCCGGCCTTGCGGATGTGTTAAAAGTGGGTGTTTCTGTTGAAAGAAAAACCTCGATGCGAAAATAGATCATGATGTCTACGTATACATTGTCAAAGAGAGGGAGGGGGGGGAACGAGGGAAAGGAGGAGTTTGGGAAAAGCATAAATGTCATGTCTAAGTTACGGACCCCTCGATTCGATGACCGTGATGATAGCTCTATATCTACATATATATACTCTAAATGCGCTGGAGGTACCTGGCTAGGTTGTTAGGCAGGCAAGCAGGCAGACGATCTACGAGTAGCAGAACATTCATCCCCTCTCACGCCCTCCGTACAGAACGTAGTGTACCTTCACGACCTGCTGTTCTCCTCCTCCTCTTCCTCCTCCGCTACGGACCCGGTCAGCATTTCTCCTCTTTCCCTCGTTGGGAACCCCCCCTGTCGTGGCCCAATCGGTCGTCCAAGGAAAACTACCGGGAGTAATAATATCTCCAGCATCTCGTTACGGAACGCGGGGAAGGGGGACCTAAAGGGGGAGAAAAAGAAGGATAATACAACAAAAAGCCGCTATGAAGATCTCGTCTGTTGTTCTCACTTTCCTCACCTCGATCGTACCGGCCGCCATGTCCCAACAAGTCAACCGCACCGCCACAAACGGCTGGGGTTCGACGCCTTCGCAGCGCCACTATATTAACCATACCCAAGCCTTGCAGGTTATCAATGCAGGTATTCAGCGCGCAGAGGCTATAGGGTAAGTGTTGTTGGCGCTCGTTCATCCCCATCCGAAAGAGCGACTTGTCGGGTTGCACGAACAGTCGCGTATCACCTTTTTGATTTTCGTTGACTGAGACATTGGCACAAAGCGTACCGCAGAACATTGCAGTGCTCGATCCGTCGTCATGGCTTGTGGCTTTTGTCCATATGGATAATTCCTACCTGGGAAGCATCGTAAGTCATGCACACACACCTACCACATGTGATAAGGGCCATTGCTAATGGAACTGCCAACCAGGACATTTCCCAGAAAAAGGCCAAAACCGTGGTGCTGTACAACGGCATCCCCAACAACGCCTTGCAGAACCGCAGCGAGCCAGGTGGCGATCTCTGGGGCATCCAGGAAACCAACGGCGGTACGGTTGTCTTCGGGGGAGGTCAACCAATATTTGACCCTGAGGGGTACTTTATTGGCGCCGTCGGCGTGAGTGGAGGTACCGTGGATCAGGATATTGATGTGGCGGTGCATGCGGCGCAGAGTATTGGCACGACAGTCACGTCGTCCTGATTCTGATTCTAGAACAGGACGAGAGAGCCACCAGAGGGATTTGTGGTGCTGACACGGAGGTTGCGGAAGTGACGCGTGTTGTGGTCTGGAGACGAGGTCAGCACCTGGAGTGAAAGCGCCGAGTTGGATCGGCAGATGGATCGGAACCAGCCAGATATGCACAAGTCCAGAGTGATACAGGGTGTCTTTACCAATCAAGAAACCTGGCCTTGTCGCTGTAGTCGTCATTGAGTACAATATCTGACATGGTATTCAGGCCGCCAAACAGTAATCATGTGTTTTCACTGGCGTCTCTGCCGTCATCCCGCAGCTGAGCTTGCATTGAAGCAGTCCTTATGTTGGTATATAGACAAGGACACAATGGACGATGCCCAGAGGGTTGTTCAGCTCTTTGCGGATGAGAACACCCATTGAAAACATGTACACTTGGACCTTGACCTGAGTAAACAAAGATATACTCCACCAATCACAAAAAGACCCTTATCAGAGCGTGCACAGTATTATTTTTGATTATCATGACCTGGAATTCTGCATTCAGCCACCACAAACCCGCACGTGGGGAGTCTCGACCGCAACGACATGAATACAACGTATTGAGGAAGAGAAGAGGAAATCGACAGAAGGATATGCACCGGCCGAGCAGAGACACGTTGTTGAACGACGACGGGGACGACGGATCGTTAGACTCTTGGAAGCAGAGAACCCAGGTTCAGAAAGTATCGAGATGGAAGCGGATGTTCGGACGTCGGGCCGGGAGCTAGGGACTGTGATGATTTCGCAGGGACATCTGTTACGAAGGTACAAGGCCGTATGAGTTTCCTTTTGGAGGCGCTGGTCTGGCGATGAATGGCGTTGTGCGAAATACCGTGGCTTGTTTCAGTGACGAGACCAGCACACAACTGGCAGTGCGCAAGCCACTTGGGTGGCTTCAGGAGACACGCACTCAACCGATTTCTCCCGGGCTGTGGCTCGATGCAAGGCTGTGGTATCGATCAGACAAGGATAAATAGCAGGGTTTCGCCGAGTCGCCTGAAGGATTGACCAACAATGACCGTCATGGCGCTTGTATTGAGAGGAAACGAACTCGTACAAGTCATTTTGCCAACCTAAGCGAGTGTCACTGGTCCATTGGGGGGATTTGCTGGTACCATAGTATTCTCAACGCTAAATTCGCATGAATCTTTTCGTTCATCCATGTGGGCTCCTCATGGCAATGTTGACACTTCCCCTGTTTACCCAGGAAAAATGCTACAGCGGTAAATACCTGTACATGGCGCAGCTTGACAATATACCATCATGCCACCCGAAATCCGTCATATCATCACGCGTTTGTCTAACAACCAGAGTCTCCAGCGGGTGCCACGTTCCGAAAATCTTAGCTCAACCACAAGATAACACAGCATCCATCCATGTGTCATCCTAACTCCTCCTTATTGTGCTGTCGACCCATCAGACCTTGTCCCAAGGACTTTGACTGAAACATCTTGCGACCCGAGCTATTTTGTAGGGCTCCTCTCTTCACATGAGACCTTGACACGCCGCAGCGCAGTCTGCTACTTATCGAGATGGACACCCACGACCTTGTTGACGACAGCGCCCTTCAACTACTATTGTCGACACTATGATGGATTCATCCGAACAATCAGAAACGATGAAGGAGCCGCCGCCCTTTGTCGAGAGCAGCTCCCACCGTCTGAGGCATCTGACCTGGGTAGGGCTTGGTCACCATGAATATCACAAACAACAATAGGGCACTAGATAACTGACGAGCTTCATCTGCCAGGCATGGTTCACTTTCCCAATGGCCACAGGCGGTTTGGCGATACTGCTGTCCCCGAAGAATCAACCACACACCTTCACGGGCCTCGAGACCATTGGCAAAGTCGTCTACATCTGCGACCTGTTTATCTTCACGCTGATCGCCTCGGCCATCACATACCGGTTTATACGATGGCCCGGAACTCTCAAAGCGAGCCTGGTTCACCCGACCGAGTCTCTCTTCTTTGGCACGTCCTTCCTCTCGCTTGCTAGCATCATCGCCGGCATGGCTCTGTACGGCATCGAGCACACCGGACTTTGGCTGGTGGTGACTTTCCGCGTTCTTTTCTGGCTGTATTTCGCCTGCACATTCATTGCCGCCGTCGGACTGTATTGCATGCTCTTCACCAACCCTCGACTAAAGATCCAAGATATGACCCCCGCTTGGGATCTACCGATGTTTCCCTTTATGCTTAGCGGCACCATCGCCGCTTCGGGCATCGAATTTCAGCCTCGTGCGGCCGCCATGCCGATGCTCTTCGCGGGGCTGACGGCGCAAGGCCTCGGCATGCTCATCTCCATGGGCATGTACGCCAGCTATGTCCGACGGATGATCAACTACGGATTCCCCTCGCCGGAGTCGCGGCCGGGCATGTTCATCGCCGTCGGTCCGCCGAGCTTCACGGCGCTGGCCATCATCGGACTCGCGGACCACTGGCCGCGCGGGTACGACTACTTTGGGCCGGACGACATCACGGCGCAGGTGGTGCGGATCCTGGCGCTGATGACGGCCGTCTTCGTCTGGAGCCTGTCGCTGTGGTTCTGGGCCATCAGCGTGGTCAGCTGCCTGGCCGTCTACCGCACGTTCCGCTTCCATCTGAACTGGTGGGCCTTTGTCTTCCCCAACGTCGGCTTCACTCTCGCCACCATCAACATCGGTAAGACCCTGCGCAGCGACGCCATCACGTGGGTCGGCTCCGTCATGACCGTCCTCATGGTCTTCCTGTACTTTTTCGTCCTGTGCCACCACGTCCGCGCCGTCTGGCGCAAGGACGTCCTCTACGCCGGCAAGGACGAGGACCACTACCACAAGGAGCGCATGGCCAAGATTGAGCGCCTCGGCGGCGACCCGGAGAAATGTACCTGTGCCGTCACCGGCGGCAGGTGAATCCCCTTGCCCCCTTAATTTTTTGGGTTCTTGAAATGAGATAGATTTCTAGAATGGATTTATATTACATTTTGTATAGATATAGATATAGATATGGATATGGACATGGATGTGGATACACAGGGCTCTAGATAGAGAAGAGAAGAGCATTTAGGTTAGAACTGTAAGATACATACCTATCTACTTACTTGCCTCCCCTACCTTCCTACCTGCTGCTGTCCTTTGCGGACACTTTTCTTTTTTGAGGCCTGTACACAACAACTACATACAGAGAGAGGGGGGGAAATGTCCAAGCGTAGGTAGGGAAAATAAGGTATATTACGACCAAAAACAATGCTTCTCTCTCGTTACTAAGTTGTCCATCCAAGCAAGCTTGTTCCGATCCAAAAAAAGGGTGGACACCGACTGACTGATTGACTGATTGACTTGAGTGGACAAAAGTCCTCACTCACTCATTCACTCACTCACTCGGTATGTGATATACAATAAACAACTAACCTCCTACCTCCAACCTCCCTGGCCGTCCCGTCCACTTCATCAGCATCAGCTCATCCCTGCTTGTTCGCAACCAAACCCCCCTATACACTAGATGTATATATATAGGCACCCACAAGCAGTAAAGACATCTCTCATTAATCCTCGCTCGTACCGGATCACTATACCATCCAAGTCAAGTCCCCTCCTGCTAGCAGCGTATCCGTCCTACCCGCCTGTTGTCCCTTCAGATCCATCCATTCATAGACTTTCACCGGTCTTGTTATGCTCGCTCACTGGCTGGCTTGTGCAAACATCCAGGCTAGAGGTATGCTCTCTGACCTTTCAAGACTTCTTCTGCTGGCTCCTGGTACGAGACCCGATCCCGTCTGCGGCGCGAGGAGTCGGCTGTTTCTTCTGCTTGGATGGCGCACCCTCAGCCTTCTTGGGCCGGCCGGCCTTCTTCTTAGTATCTTCTGCGGGCTCTGGCTCTTCCTTTTTCTTCTCTGGTTCCTCCTCCTCCTCATCGGTCTTCTTCAGGGCCGCGGCTCCCTTCTTATTCTTCGCGGGCTCCTTCTTTTGCTTCTTAGCAGCGGGCTCCTTGGCTTTGACTGTCTTGCCCTCAGCGTTTTCTTCGAGGGGTTCCGCCTTGTCTTGCTTGTTGTCTTCTTCCCCCTTCTCCTCCTTGTCTACGTCATCGTGCTTCCTCTTTTCGCCGTTCTTAGTCTCGCCATCTTCTTTAGAGTCCTCCTTTTCGTCGTCGGCATCGGCGGCGCCAGCGTCGCCATTGGCTTTCTCCTCGACGTTGAGCTCGGAGGCTTTCTTGACCACGTCTTGGCCAGACCGCTCGACGCGAACGGCAGGATTGTTTGGCTCGGCGTTCTTCTTGACCTTGTTGCCGCGCTTGGAGGTGATGGCAACTTCGCCTTCGGTCTTCTTCTCAGCCACGGTACCTCCAGGCTGGCCTCCGCCCCAGTTCCATGTGACTGCGACGAGATAGGGTCAGCGCCTTGTGTGGCCATCAGAGGCAGAGTGCAAGCAGATCATTTTTGGGGGTTTTCAAATTGCGCAGAAGCCCAGTAGGTCGCGCGCCGTAAGCGACTCTGGCCTTGCCCATGCGCAGTTGCTCGGGCTCTGGGCTGATGGACCATGGTTCAGGTTATTCGCACCTTTGTCTCCTTTCTCAGGCTCTTCGCCGGGCATGGTGACGTCAGCGAAATGACGGTTGGAGCAACTCAATGGGGAACGTGCTAGAATACAAAGAAACGAGGGTAAATTGATCGCCAAAGCTTTGCGACCAGAATACCAGGTGTTTAGAGATGAACACAGGGGATGGAGGAGTGAGAGGAGAATAAACAAGTTCAACGAAAGAGGAGGTGTCTGGGTCAGCTCGAGGGGGGGACAGCAGGACGCATTATTGCCTGCGACACGGCCCATCAGCGCCCATGGCAGAGCCAGTGGTTTGGCTTTGGCTGCGGGTGAAGAGCTTGGTTTGACTTGGTTTGTTGCGGGCTGCCTGCGCTGCTGGGCTGCTGGGATGGTTAAGCGAGAGAGCCTAGTGAGGCCCCCTTCTTGGTGACTCTGACCTCCCCCAGCCTCGCCCCCTCAAGCCCATTTTTAGAGGAGCTACAGCAGCCCGTACCCGGAGCAGGCGGGAGGTGAGCTGGTTGTGTCTTGTTTCAAGGAGGCAATCTCCTAGCCAACACCTGCATGCGCCAAACTAGATGCCCATGACCGCAAACCCTCAGCCGGAGGCTTCCATTTCGGTTCACCAGCAGCGACATCCGTTGCACGTCAGTACTGACAGTGGCTTGTTTTAGCTTGGGATGCACGGAGGAAGTCAATTTGCCTCTGGGATCTGCCCCATGCTGCTCAAGCCATGCTGCTGCTCTAGGTCCTGGTTGAACTTTGGGGTATTGAATCCCACCTGGATAACTGTGACGACTAGGGAGGCACCCCGGACAAACCATTTTGCTTTGGTTGCGATAGTTGATTGTGATGATGTGAGTGGTATAACACCATACATTGAGCACAATAATCAATGCTGCAGATAGTCTAAGCTTATATGTGACTGTACTCAACAGGGCGCAACCTTGCATGAGAAGAGTAAGTGGAAGCAACAAAAGATTGGAAAATTGTTTCTCGTCCAAAGTAGTAGAATACATGCCTACTTCTGAGTCGTGCCTGCCAACCCACCTGCCAACTTGTAGTATCTGCTTACATACTCCCCAGATACGTCCCTGAGACTTCAGCCAAAAAACCAGACCTCAATCTTAAACTCATAATTTCCGATAAATACACCTTTGATAAAAAGTCCACCAGCACCGAGACATCTCTGCTAGTCCTAATACCTAGATTCCACCCATATCCCCACCGCTTCATTTTTACCCCTCCGCCACAAGTCCCTGCTACAACTGACACATGCCTGTAGAATTCATCTATGGGTTAGGACCTCCACGAACTTGGCTGGTGCCGTCCTCTGGACCTGGAAGACCTTCTTCGTCACCAGGTTCACGGTATTGGCCCGGCTTCGCCGCTCCACGGGTACGCTCGTCGATGATGTTGCTTTCATCGATTGCATCGGCGTCATCACGAGCTGTGCACTAGAATCAGCTTCTGCATCTACCTAGCTCACAGAAACTGGTTCCAAATGAGATACCAGTAACAGAGGCACTTACCCAGTTGCTCATCAGAGTCAGCCGTTTTGGCGTCAATGGGATCTTCAATTGCAGCGTCGTCGCTCTGTACTGGAATGTGGCTCTGGCCAGTACGCGACTTGTAGTCGTTTTGCGTCGTGTCAGCAGTGGTGCCGCTTTCGAGGCCCTCGCCGGTGGGCTGGTATTCGTCTCCTGGGGCCGACATATTGCGATTTATCGAGTGGATTTGTTGTTGTTGGCTCAAATGTAGAGACAAAATGGTTCTGTGCAGTCAGGTACCGGGATCAGAGAAAAGAGATTGTCTCGAATTTTTGATCTGGGTTTATATGCTCCTGGAGGTGTCATTGAAGGCCCCTTCACGACATCAGTCTCACGATATCATCTGCATTTCGGTCATGTCCTTGTCGTCATGACCCCAGGACATTTCACGCTCCCTACGCTTACGTCCAGTAGTCTATCGACAAAGTCGTGAGGTCATAAACCCATGTCACTATCAGCTGGGTTGGGAACAGTGACGAAAGAATGAGCTAGGGAAGCTAGGAAGATGAGGATCTGATGAAACCAATCGTGATGATTCCATTGGGGGCTTATACGCAGCAATTCAATTCAGGTACGATCTCGACTCCAGGTGTGCTGGCGGAGACCATGGAGACAAAGGGAGAGAGGCAAGGCGCAAGGCGCGAGGCTGTCAATCGGTACCCAATCATATCATACCAGCTCCGGAGCCAAGCAAAGTCGTCGACGTCAAGACTTCGGATGTCCCTGGGGCACTTGGCCTTGTCGATCTGGCAACCAGGTCCCAGAAAAGTCGATACACTTTACTAGAACCAATATCGAGATCTGGACATGTGCATCGCCAGGGGCATTGGCTGCGGAGATGAGTCCCGCCCAGGCCATTACATACTTGTGAATGAGACTCACATTACCAGGTTGGCCTGCTACCTGTTCAACATCGTGCAGTAAAGCAGGCAGGCTCCGTTCCTGGACAAGGTAGTGGTATGATGTTAGCTTTGTCTGGCCAGTATGGGTAAATTCTTACTCAGGTAACCATCTTCTTTGCAGGGTGATGACCTCAATGTTGAGATGCGGTTCAACCACAGAAGGGTTGAAAGACTGGAAAGCTTGTGTGCTACTTTTTCACTTGCAGAGGCTATGAGAGGTACTCGTGTCCTCCGTGTCGACAAAATGACACTGTATTCGTCCCCTGCTGGCTTTCCAGCCTCCTTTCTTGAAGTGTCAAAAGAGTGAGAATTTCAGCCTTTACACATACAGTTTGTAAATGACTAGAGAAGCAAGGCGTAATAGACGACGCATAAGTATTCGCTCAATTTTGGTACAGATGTCTGGGACTTGAGCATGGGAGTCGTGGGGAAATACTCCCCGGGCCTGGGTTGCGTAGCGGTGTCTATTAACCAACAAACAATACAGGGTATAACCTCCGGGAAATATAGGCCCCCATCTTGTGTCACTCTTTTGCGGAGAGCAGGCGGCGCTAGTGGCGAATCGGGCCAAGGGAGCAAGGCGAGTCAATAGATCGCAAGAGGAGAAAACCTTCTGTGCGACTATTGTTAACGGCCCTGCGGCCATACTTGAACCACAGACGGAGAACTTAAACAGTTCACAAAGCAAATAGGTCTATCCACTCTTCAACCGACGCGACTGACTTCTCAAAATCGACGGACTTTTGAGAACCGACTCTCCAAGGCAACATCCCATGCCCGGCTCGTCACTATGGCTCATCGCCCGCAAGGATGATGAACCCTTCAACAAATCCCTAAAAGACCTGATCGGGAGTACACTCCCATCGAACTTTCCCCACGCGCCCAAGCGGAATTTCATCCCGCATGTGACCATCACCTCGGACATTGACCCGTCAAGAACCTACGGGGACTCATCTCCCCAAAAGTGGCTCGATGGACTCAGCCTGCCCGAGTTCAAAAAGGAGTTGGACGAGGTGTGCGTGGAGCTCGAGCAGCTCGAAGCTGGCGAGCCATTCTTTAAGAAGGTGACCATCCGCGCCGCCAGGAATGACAACCTGCTCAAACTCGCCGCGGCGTGTCGACGGCAGGGTGTCTTGCTCAGTGAAGCCGACGCGCAGAACTGGGCGCAGACCGAATATCGTCCGCACCTGAGCCTGTTCTACGGCGACGTGCCACAGGGCGAGGTGCAGAAGAAAATCGGCCTGATCGAGTTGCAGCTGGGCTTTGAGTTGGGCAGTCTCTTCGATTGTTGCGGTGGTACGCTGGCCATGGGCGCGAAGCTCGTGCTGGTGGACACGAGCAAGGACATCGAGGACTGGACGCCCATCGCGGAGAGGGACTGTCCTTGGGTCATGTGGAAGATGGCCAAAGGTCTGTTGTGACGGATGGATAGAAGACCATGCTACTTTGCCTGGCGCTGCCTATACCCAATGTGTGTTTTCATGAGAGCCGACTTGCTCGATTTTTACACGCTCTCGGTTCATACTCTCCGGTTGTTCCATATATCTCAGCGTGGTATGGACTCAAGCGCGGCTCAACACTTGGTTTGGTTGATTCATGGGTCAACTAACCTCACCATGATATTTATCGCTGGTACCTACAATACGTGGTCCTTTTGTGAGATTGGGTTCCCTGCCAGGCGAGGAAAGGTAGACTCCTTGTTATGGAGAGATCTGCTTGGCGACGGTCATATACATATGTACCATCGTGTACCAATGGAGCAGGCACTTTTCCCAGATTACACACCCGCCTTCACGAGCAAGGAGTTCTACATGATGTCTACTCTGTGCGTGAACTAGACCGGGCGGACAACACATGCAATATTACCGAGGTATGTATCGAACCTGTGTTCCATTTCTATGAAAGACAATAGCTTGGAAGACCTTGGCCATGCGGGGGACTGGCTGGAAACAACCACCCAGAAACATCCACAGCAGAAACGCCGCATCTATTATCGTCCAGTGAGCTTTGGCTTATCAACAAGATAGTTCCCATGGGAGGCTCTCTAGCCTGGCGCTTCCCGATCACGCTGATGCCCAGATGGACAAGCCTTATTTCCCCAGACTTTGCACTGTCAGATATGTCCATGTCAGCACCCCATCGCGCCAATCGTGCAGCAGGCCATCTTCATTAGGATATCCGCATCATGCCTCCCAGAAGAGCTGTGCTTGTTCGGGATGGTCGATTGCTGGATTCAACCTCGGGTTATTGTCCTATTGCTTCTGAGAGTCGAGACGCGCTTCACCATGCCAATGCGGTCGTCGTTCCTCACAAATAGTAGGAAACACCCCGTGGGTGTACAGGATCAATCAGATCCCGGTGCAATCTTCGCACAAATTACTCATGGCATCCTCACAGGTCCATCAACTCGTCGTCAAACTCAAGTCATGTGTGCAAGACACGAGGCCAGCCGATCTCGCCCTGGTCGCGCTGGCAGTTGTCGCTCTCACTCTCCTGACCACATGTATTTACCGACTCTACTTCCACCCACTCGCACGCTACCCTGGGCCGTGGTACATGAAAGTCACTTCGCTGTATGATTTCTACATTGGTGTCGGGGAGCGCAGACATCTCCATATCCATCATTTGCATCAGAAATATGGTATAAATTCCAGAGGCTGAGCCATACGAAACTTGCCGACTTTCTGACTTTGTCTGATGCCTGCAGGCCCCGTGGTTCGCTACAGCCCGAATGCTTTGGCCTTTAACGATCCCCAAGCCTTTCGAGGTGAGATTGAAACACTGTCATCACCCTGGGAAACTACAATAAGTTGAACTCGTGTAGACATCTACGGGTTCAAACGCAATTTTCGGAAAGCAGACGCCACGACCGTCGGCGCCTCTGGCCATCCGGACGCACGAAATACATTCAGCGAGCCGCTGACAGAGAACGCCATGAAGAAGAGAAGGATTCTGTCACAGGGCTTCTCGGAGTCTGCTTTGAGAGATGCTGAAGGTTGGGGCGACTACCCCCTCGCTGAAAGACATGGCGACTGACTTTCCCACAGAATTCATGATTGAAAAGATCCAGATCCTGTGTAAACAGCTGATCAACCCCGAGACAGAAAAGGCCAAAGACATGTCGCTGTGGTTGAATTACCTGGCCTACGACATCATGGGCGAAGTCGTCTTTGGGAAGAGCTTCGACATGTTGACGAACCCCTCCTTGCGCTATGTGTTGGACTTGATCGATTCCATGGTGTTTTCCACTCTCTTGGTAAGATTCGTCTGACTGTTTTTTGGAGGGCATTTTGCTCATTCTCGACACAGGGAGGCATCGCACCCTGGATCTACAGCAGTGGTTTGATCAACGTCCTCTTTCCGCGACTCCTGCGTACCCGCACCAAATTCATCGCCTACGTGGCTGGTGTCGTGCAGAACAGAATTGCAGCCGAAGCTGATGCCGCCGCCCAAGGACGACGCAAGGACTTTTTCCATTATGTATGTTTCCCCCCTTCCCTGATGAAAGCTATCAAGCACCGGTCGTTCCATTTCAGAATAGTCCTTGAACTAACGCACGGAAACAAAGCTGCTCAACGCCAAAGACGCAGACACGGGCAAGCCGTTGCCGATCGAGTTCCTCTTCTCCGAGGGCGTCTTGTTGGTCGTCGGCGGGAGCGACACCAGTTCTACAGGCAAGACTTGATACATGCTTACACCCCGTGGCACATGGTCTGACCAGGTACATTGTCTCACACAGGTCTAGCCGCCACCCTTTTCTACCTGCTCAAATACCCCCAGTGTATGGAGAGGCTGCGTCAAGAACTCGACGTCAAGTTCGACCACGTCGATGAGATCAGATCAGGCGCGAAGCTGGCTAGTTGTGTCTACCTCCGAGCTTGTGTGGACGAGGCGCTGCGCATGGCACCTCCAGGTCCTGGATTACTTCCCAGGGCGGCCTTGAAGGTGAGAAAAGAGGGTGGATATTATTGCTTCTTGCTTGGGCGTGAGACAGTCGCCGTCTGAGGGTCGACTAACAATCGTTCACCGACAGGGCGGAGAAACCGTGAATGGAGAATACATTCCAGAAGGTGTAAGTAGTGTTGACTCTCATTGCGGCCGTGTGGAACAGAAATTGACTCTACTTCTACGCGTAGATTGACGTCGGCGTCGGCTGGTGGGCCCTTGCCTACAACGAAAAGTACTTTCCCGAACCAGACCTTTTCCGACCAGAGCGATACCTCACGAGTGACGGGAGTACGGACGAAGACACCGCTACGGCAAAAGATTGCTACTGGGCGTTTTCCATGGGGCCCCGAAAGTGTCCCGGCATCAAGATGGCGTATCAGGAACTCTACATCACCATTGCGAGGCTGGTTTATCTTTTCGATATGCACCCGGAGCGGCCGGAAGAGTTGCAGAAGAACTTTGAGCTTCTTGATCATTTCAGTAAGTGGGATATCACCACCGACCATGTAATCTCTGGAGAGATATTGATGAGTGGCTAGATGTCAGGAAGTTTGGGCCCACGGTGTCGTTCACACTGCGTCCAGGGAGAGAACTCTGAGTTGGTGGGTTGGTTTACCATCGACGTCTTCTATCAATATTGCGTTGTCAATGTTCAGATCAGAGACCACCGGCAGGCTGCTGCTCTGCGGGATCGATATGAAAACCATCAAATACCTGTTTTGAGATCGGGGAAGACACACCATTATAAGTAAGCACGCCATCACAATGAATCCCGTTTTGTGGATATTAAAGGAGATACGGAATAGAGATCAACCCCAGAATGTAGCCGTGTTCCAAGACTGTTGGCTGGGGGATCTTAGCTGCCGGTGTTTTGACATCTCCTGGAAAGGCATTCAATCGGCTACAAGACGATGTTCGCTATTTCATGAGTAATGGAAGGACTTCAAGCCAGAGGGGCATGAAGCAGCGTAGAGTTGCTGGCCCAATCGAGACCTAGAAGCGCAGATTTTGCTGGGAGAGATCGACTCTCAGGCGCATATAGCACTAGTATATTGCGAGCCTTGATATTTGGAAGGATCTATGCTCTCATTAAAGGGCTATGAAGGGCGTCAAGTTCATGTTAGAGAGTAGAAGGGAGAAAAGAGGAAGTAGCCCTGGTGGGCCCTAGACAATCACATGATGGCGCGTTTAGAAGCCTCGGACGCGATCGCGGGGAAACTCGTTTGTTGCATCTCCTCGTTGCCACTGCGGCTTCAATTGCGCCAGTCGAATCGATACAACACAACAACGCAATGCTGGGCGGACACTACTGTCGCTACTGTGTATCCGCATGGGTGTGCAGTATGTCTGACTGATTTCTGCGCTGTGGTTTTCGCCCCGGGTAAGATGGCTGAAGACTGTGCAAACCCGCTGCTGGCGGGATGGCTGAAGGAATGGATGGATGAAGCAAAAGAACGCAACAGCAAAGGCTACACTGTGTATTCCTAACCCCTCCTCCCACATCTCGTGTGCAAACTTTACTGACAATCCCAGTTACAAAAAAGCATATCAATCCATCAAAGCGTGCCCCCTGGCTTTCAGCCACCCCTCCGAAGCCCAACAACTGAACGGCCTGGGCCCTAAATTATGCGATCGACTTACGGAGAAGCTCAAACAGCATTGCGAGCGGAATGGTCTAGTTATGCCAAGCAAGAAAGGCCGGAGGAACAGGACATCAGAAGACTCGCCGTCAGATGAGGCCCGACCGGACGAAGCAGAACAGTCCTCGCCAGTCCGTAGGAAGCGGAAGGCTCAGCCATATGTTCCAAAATACAGGTCTGGCGCTTATGGATTGATAGTCGCTCTCGGCACCTTGGACCGTGAAAGCAATCAGGCAATTCCGAAGCCCGACCTGATTGAACTGGCACAGCCTCACTGCGATGCGAGCTACACGGTCCCGAGTGACCCCACGAAATTCTTCACGGCGTGGAAGTCTATGCAAACATTGGAGTCAAAAGAGCTTGTCTGCACCAAGGGCCACCCGACGAAACGATATTACTTGTCCGATGAAGGATGGGAGGTCGCAGAAGGTATACAAGCGAGCGCCGGCGGTCGGCCTGGGGCAGCGAAGAAGAAAAAGAATCAGCGGGAAACTACATCAACTCTTCGCGTGAACGCCTCAAGATCCGTCACCCCAGAGCCTGAAAAGCGGCAAACAGCTTCGGCTGCCCCAGTACAATCCAGCCGACTTGCCGGGGCTGCAGCTCGCCGAGCTTCTGATGACTTGGAAGTATTCTCGATTTCCGAGAACGACATGCGCGAATCCGATCCGGAGACGAGGTTCGTGCGCTCTGATGGCGGAAAACTTGGTCGAAGACCCACAGATTCCAACTCCTCCCTTGAGGATACAGTCATCTTGCCAGCAGGAAGCTTCGAGGTGAAGATGGTGCTGGATATGCGCGAAGTTCGCACAACCACTGACCGAGATTATATATCTGGGGAGCTGAAAAAGCATGGTATCACTGCGACCATTCGCTCACTTCCACTAGGTGATGTCTTGTGGGTCGCAGAAGTAAATCCGCTCTACACTAATAGTCTCAGGGCAGCAAGTGTTGGCGACGAAGGCGACGACAAGGTAGAAATCGTCTTGGAACACATCCTGGAGCGCAAGAGGCTCGACGACCTGATTAGCAGTATCAAAGACGGACGTTTCCACGAACAGAAATTCCGACTGCACAGGTCCGGTATAAAGAATGTGACTTACCTTATTGAGGAGTACTCGATCTCTTCCGAGAGAAGTGAGAAGTACGGCGATGCACTGGAAAGCGCCATCGCCAGTATGCAAGTGGTCGACAACTTCTTTGTCAAGCAAACAACAAAGCTGGACGACACGATCCGTTATCTTGCCCGTATGACCAAAACCCTCAAGGGACTGTACGAGAGCAAGGACATCAACGTCATCCCTGCTCAAAGCTTCGAAGCCGAGGCTGTTTCATTATTGCTGGAGCGGTTCAGAAAGAACTCTCCTGGGAGGGCCTTTGGCATGACATTCTCGGTATTTAGTGCCATGTGTGACAAGTCGGAGAGCATGACGCTTCGAGATGTCTACCTCAAGATGTTGATGTGTATCAGAGGCGTGACTGGGGAGAAGGCAATTGAGATACAGAAAATCTGGCCGACGCCGCGTGCTCTGGCCGAAGCTTTTGAGGCGCAACAAAAGGGAAATGCGCGGGACGCGATGATCAGCGATCGTCTTGGCTCTACCATTCCTCGGAAGAAGGTTGGGAAGGCATTGAGCACCAAAATTGCAGAGATTTGGGGGTGAAATGTGTCGTAAAGTGGCTAAATTGCTACGATGTTTATGAATTTACGGCAAGTCGCAACTCCTTTGGTCCGTTTGGGCTTTGCACCTGCAAAGGGAATCGAGGAGGTTACATACTGGGCAGTTTGGGGCGGCTGAAACGCTCACCAGACACGTTGAAATATCACCAAGTATACTACAAGGGAATAGTTGTTCGTATTCGCACCAGAACGGAAGCCGGCACCAGAACCGATCGAGCACGAGACCCGACGACGAAGCCTTGACCAAGCAACTGCAAGCCTTTCCTTGCGTTTGCTGGTCCGCACCGAATCAAGGCTTATGGTGGTGTCGATCAGGCCTTCCCAATGCATCCCATGTCTATCTCTTCCCCACACACTCACCTACGCATACACGGGACAATATCTGGCGAGTGAGCAATTGGGTTGGGGGCCATGAGGCGGGGTTAATTGATCGACATATTACTACCTACTACGTACCCAGGTGTGCATGGTATGTCGGACACTGGGCGACGCTACTATTAGCACTACGACATTGAGATCTTCTCTTACGAGTCCCGTTGGTGCCGTTGGTTCCTTTAAGGATCAAGGGTCCGCTGGGGGACGCCACCACCATCACTATTAACTACCACTCCCTCGTATTTTTATCGTCCATCGCACTGTCCTGTACTGCTGCACCACGTCACCAAAAGTGCTTTGAGGTCCAGATCTTAATTCGAGTCGAGTCAGGCTCTTTTCTTCTCTTTGCTGGGTGGGTTGACCCAGTGGGTATCTTTCGTCGTGTCGTGGACCTCTGTCACGCACAAGGTGGGAGACAAGTCGAGACAAGTGTCCTAGAGACCAACCCAGGGCTGCGTGAAATGTGTATCTCGGCCTTGAAAGGGCAGAACACGGGATCACAGAGACGAGTCTCGATATTGTAGGTTTTCTGGTCCTCTCGAGTCGAGAAAGAGTCAAGGCGGCGTACACCCACCCGCGAAACCACCTACTCTTCGCTGCAACTCCTGCCTCTCGAATCATTCAAGCTACATATCTCTATCTCTTCGATAGAGCAACCCGCAGATACTCGAGCCCTCGCCAGAGAGAGCAATGCTGGGTATTGAAGGGCTCTCAGACGCCTCCTTCCGTGGCGATGAGCGCTGGAGAAAGGCATCTAAATGGACGGGCCATGCACCGTGGGTGGTGCTTGCGATTGGTATCCTGAGTATGGTCGAGATCGCACTCGGGGCGGTATGGATTGCTTCGTTGACCACTGATCTGAACTTGTAAGTAACTATGTCCTCGTTCCTCTCTGGGAGATGATGGCCAACACAAAACTTTCCTATTCAGCGGTCAAGTCATCCAGCCCATCCTCATCCCAGGCTTAGCCTTCTTCAACGCCATCCCATCCCTCCACTTACACGTACTTGCGAGGGTAAACCCACCTCGACTGGCGCTATGGTTCTCCACGACGCTCTCGATCGTCCATTTCGTCAGCTCCATCCTCTTCATGGGTGCCTGTGTCGGGAACCACTCGCACGGCTCGCTACAGCGCAACGAATGTCCCGACGCCACAGGCGGGAATGAAGACATCTGGGACGTCATGGTCGCGCTGCAGTTCGTCAGTGCGGTGCTCTACGGCGCGGTTGCGGCCATGGCTTGGAAAGTCAGGACAGTGGTCGAGGCGAGGGACGAGAGGATCGCCCAGGGGGTGGAGATGGTCAGCGAGGAAGAGAAACAGAGACGGGAGAGCGAGGCACGCGAGAGGTGGAAGTATCTTTCTGCGGGTTAGGCACGATAAACAATCTCACAGTTGAGAGTTGAGACGAGAAGATGGGTTCTTTGTATGCTGGCGTCTTTCACGGGACGAGATATATGTGGTGCGTCAAAGAATTGGGGCATCTTGGATATGTATCGCACTCATATTTTGTAACAAGAGTTAATGTTGTTGGACGTGGATAACAGCCATATAAAATGGGCATATTCAAGATCCAGAAATGTGACTGAACTGGACATGGCCACGCCGCTTTATGTCAGAGTGATGACGTCTGGCGTCGGTATTAGAGCGGCGGGATATCCTCCCCCAAACAAGGTCCCCCGTCAAGCGAAGATGCATCAACCACCAGCCTCAGGCAAGTCGTTTTTCTCCACTTGTATCTTGCAGCCGAAGTTCCATTCCACTTTGGGTGTTTTGTTTGCACCTTGGACCCAACTACTCGCCGCGCAGTCTTTCGCGTGTGCTTTGCGCTGGGATTTCCGTGCCAGATGGGTTCACAACTAGGAATTTCACAGAACTGGACCGGGTAGCATGCGCAGAGGGCAGCATGCAACTCCACGCGACATGTCTCGGAACAAAGAAAATAATCCTCTTTCGACGGCCCAGCAGCAGCAGCAGCAGCAGCGCACAGCGGCGATCGCATCACTGCACAGAACATTACCCAGCGACGAGTTCTTCACCGACAGCTTGATCGACGACTCCCGCATCTCGAATAGCTCGTATATTCCGTCGCCGGTCAAGTCGGGCCCCGTTAAGCCTCGACGCGCGCTCGGCGCGAGCAAAGTGTTGCAGATAGGAAAAGACTCTGGCAACAGGACCAGTCGCACCTCGTTGTCCGATTATACCGCGGCGCGGACCAGCAAACAATTGAAGCCTTCGCCGAAGCTGACCAGGAGGAAAAGCCCCAGCCCGGCGCGAACAAATGGACTCTCGACTCCGCCGCATTCCAGACACGATCCCCGCCTCACCAGTCCCCCTCCTGAGTTCTCTAGCCCGCCGGGTGGTCTGCACGAGTCCTACCAGCGAATAGCCGACGAGGAGGATTTGGCCGCGACGGAGAGGGATGTGGACAGCGAAGAGGAGGAGATCGATGGCGGCGACCAGCAGGATACATTTGAGACAAATCTGGACGTGAACCCGACAGGAGATGGAATGGCCACGGAACAATCAGAACCGGCACAGTTTTCGCAACAGCTGACGCCGGTTCGATCTCCCTCCCCAGCTCACGCAGAAGTACAAAATCCCATGGATGACCGGGTCGAAAGTCTCTCAGAGCCGCCAACCTTGGATTTCCTCAAGAATGAGCTTTCCGATCGGATATTGGCTGCCAAATTGACACCTCACGTTGTCGATCGCGCAAAAGATCGCGCAAGACTGGAGAAGCTGAGACAGAGCCGAATCCCAATAAACTTTGGAGAAAAGGGCAAGGAAGATCAAGTAAACGGGGAGCCCCGACGGAGTGATCTCGCAAGCGTTACAAGCCGTGGTCCGATTTCCTTCGACAACGTTTTAGCTGTGGATGCGAACGCCCTGCACAGGACCTACTCAGATACAAGTGCAGATCTTGACCCTCAAAAAAGAGTCAAAGCGTTCAGGCGCGCAACGCGTCCTAGTGTGGCCCAAACTGCACCTGGAGATGATGATGGAAGCGATACACCTCCGGAACTGCGGGAAAGGGAGAGATTGGTCGCCTTCAGTAAATACAGTCGGAAGAAGAAGGAAGACAACGAACAAAGTGAAATACCGAGACCAGCATCGGTACCCAAAGTCTCGGCGTTTTCACGTGCGCACGCTCGTCCTCGTCCTCATGGGACGCCGTCCGAGGTAATTGACGATCAGGTACAACCCGATGACCCTACAGTTGCGTCTATCGCCTCGACAGTGTCCGAGCCTCTTCCTGGGACGACTCAACAACCGGATAAGGATCGAGCTACGCGCACCTTTATTGCTAGATGGCGCAAAGAGGCTGCAGAGAGGCGCGCTGTGAAGACTCGAGACGACGCGGACCGTTCTGAGTCACAAATTGACTGGGCTGCTGTAGGTGCAGATGTCGCATTGCCTTCCATTGAGAAGTCTTCGACGCCCCAGGAAACTCCCCCAAGAATCGTGGCGTCTTCGATTCACAAGCAAACGTCCATGGATCGCATGCGGAAATGGGAAAACGACTTCACGGGCCTGTCATTTCAGGTGTCGGAAAGCCCACCCGTTCGTACTCGGCCGAACCTCAGTGATACGCTCAGAGAGAAAGAGATTGAGGATCTCGCCAAACAGGCCGTCACTACAAACAGGTTGGACGAGATCCGTGAAAAGGATCCGAATGTCATTGTCCGGAAGACTTCTCGAAATTTCAGCCCACTGGAGCGCAAGTCGACGCTGCCGGAGTCACAGGACAATTCCCCTGTAGTCGACAAGGCGCAGCTGAAAAATATGGGCGAAGCGGTACCAGACACGCCAGTCGTTGTTTACAGGTCATCCAGCGGTGGGACCGACAAATCGAAATCCTCTCAACGATCAATGCCAGATTCTTTGGATCAACTGCAGCGATTAGCTCGAGCCGTCAGCACAACCCCGAAACCAAGTCCGCCTGCGCAAGACTTGTCCATTGCTTTACAAGATGCATCTGCAGTTCCCTTGCCATCTTCGGAAGATGACCTGAAATCTCAGTCTTCGCTCGCAGACCACGACGAGGTTCACAACAAGAAGAAAGTGGCAGAGACTCCAAGGGTTATGGGTGCATGGACCGATACCATTCTCCCGGATACTGTCAAGACAAGAAATCAAACACAAAAAATTACCAAGTATGCGCAAACACCTCATGTCAATGCTGGAGGCTGGATAGAGACACCGCTACCCATGGGAGAGCGGATGGCAAATGTCCAGATACCGAGGATCGTTGAAGAGGAGACAGAAGAATTAATGAACGAGGAAATTCCAAACGACAATCCAGCGGCGGCTCACATTGAACGTGACACAATTCCACAAACAACCCCTGTGATTGAGCAGCCCGAGCCAAAAGTTGAACCAAAGAAGGAAGAGGTCGTTCTCCCCAAAAGTGCCCTAACAAATGTTCTCAACGAGGCCAAACAGAAGCGGCTAGTATCACAGGACATCCCTGATGCTCATCGAGAGGATACTGACACGCTTAACCTCGGAGACGCGACTATCCAAAGCTTTGAAGACCTCCTCACTGACGCCGCAGACATCACGGCGGATCTCACCAGCCTTATCAAAGCTGGTGCTGAGGAGGAAGTCTTGGCTCTGAAGGAGAAAAATAAGTTGACTGCTTCTCTTGGTTTGGACGACGATAACTCGACTGCATCCGAGGTTGCATTTATTGGTCACTTGACAAGCCGGATGGAAAGACTCATGTCAAATTTGCACGAAGCTAGGAAAGGCATCGCCAGGCTGGAGCAAAAAGTCTCTCATACACCACCCATAACCTTGGCAGAACTGGAACAAATGCGGACGCTAGGGGCCGTGGAGGATCCAAATCAAGCCTGCACAAGATGTGGTCGAAGCCATCATGACATCTCCCACGTTCATCCCTCAAAGGAGACTGTGACTATTTCCTCCTTCATGGCAATACCCATCGCACACACGACATTCACTCTCCCTATTCCGCTCTTGTTCCATCCGCGAACAGCATCTCAGGACAAACACCGCAATCGCCTCATTGGCTTCCTTCCTGGTAGCCCAACGTGGCTAGGCTATCTCACCTTCTCCGTGTGGATTTGGTATATCCTTGAATGTGTTCTCGCAGAGATCTACGCAAGACCACTCTATGCAGAACGATACGTGTGGCCCACACGACCAGAGCCAGAGTTTCCTTTCGTTCTTCCCACGATGCTCTACAGGTGGTGCATCAGTGGCATCTTGGAAAATATGTTAATCATGCCTGTGGTGACGGTTTTAGGCGTCGTGTGGAGACTAGTCATGGCTGTTTGCAAGATCATTGGGATGTGGTTGGGGTTGTGGGATGGATTTGTCGACGACGACAAGGCGACAAGCATCATGGCCACTGCTACGAAGTCTGCTGTTCAGGCTGTCCGGAGTCTTGTTGGCGGGCCCGCTGCCGCCGATCCTGTCGGAATGGAGGGGTTGAGTATGATGAATGACGAAATTTTATGATCAATTCAACGACACTGTTTGTGCAGAACAACCTGTGCAGGTATCGGTGTTGGCAAGGATGGGCGACTTCAGTTCGTTTGGTGATTGGCGCCGCTTTTGTATGGCGGGAGGGAGGGTGACTAATCAGGACGGATATGAAAATGGATGGGGGGGAAAACAGGTCCGGGAATTTCCAAGTGTCTGGCAAGGGCGTTGGCAAGTGGTGAGGTCTTTTTTCTCTCTCCTTACTCTATGTTATGGGGGTGTCTACTAGTCAGAGGAACCTGAACCTGAACCCGCCGGTGCTTTTCTCTACAGGAGGCAGGCAGGCAGCGAATGTGCTTTGGTTTTTCGCAAATCGGAAGGGAGGGGGATGAAATGGATCACCAGACCAAGGAGTAGGCAGGCAGGCAGGCAGGCAGGCAGAGTTACGCCATCTCGGTATCTCGGGCTCGGAGCTGAACTGAACTGAACTGAGCTGAACAGAACTGAACTGAACTGGATCTTGCTTGTATCCTGTTTTTGTTTCCTGCGTCATGTCAGAGGGCTGAGGGGGAGTTACTCCCTAGCTAGCTAGATACGACTGATGTACTCATACTCCCTCTCTCTAGTTACTGAAAAAAAAAGTGTACTAGACTGCCTCACTCCTCACTCCTCACTGCCCCCCTGCTGTCTCACTATGAGAGCAACGAATAGTATTTTACTTCCCCTGTCCGCGACTCGCCCGGGCATTATTTATCATTACCGTCATTACCGAGTTCATACTACCTATGTAGGTGGAAAGAAAACCCTTACTACGTTTTGGTAACCCCCTCCCTGGTGCTCAGTGCTCACTCGATACTACAATAGGCAGGTAGATATTGTAGCGTAGCAAGCAAGCACATCTTGTTGCCTCGTGTGTTTTCATTACCGTCACCCTTTGCACTTTCTCTTCGTACCAGCGTGGCCGAGCTGCCGGTTACATCCTCGCAATCTCCTTCCCCCACACCCGATTCAAAACCCACGTAAAGACAATGACCACCCGGCTCCGCCAGTTGCGGTTCCACATCAGACTACCGCTGCGCCAGGCCAGCCAGGCGCTCTTGCCCGTCCAGCCGTCGGAGTTGGGCCCCTTGCCCGCGATGACGCCGTCGTGCGCCCCAATGTACGAGACGAGCTGTTTCTGCGAGTACGCAAAGGGTTTGTCGAACGCGTCGTTGGCGCTGGAGAGGCCGGATTGTGTGGTGGTGGCGGCGAGGGATTTGGCGAGCTCGTTAAAGTTCTGTACGAGGTAGCGCGCTTTTTGTACGGCGACTTCGGCCGTGGTTGGCAGAGACGCCCCTTCGATGTCGGCGGCGTCGCCCAGGGCGAATACACCGTCGTGGACTTGGCCTGTTTCTCCACCTCCATGGACGCGGAGGTGGTCGTCTGTCAAGATGCGTTTGAGTCCTCGCTGCGACAGTTTGACGTCGATCTTGTCCAGCAGCGGGACGTGCTTGTTGCCCGTCGCCCAGATCAGCATGCCGTAGGGGACTCTACCTTTGTCCTTGATATACAGTGCCTGATCGTCGACCCTCTCAATCTTCGTGTTCGGTGCGACGTCGATGTGGCGCCTTTCGAGCTGACTTGTGGCGTATTCGTGCAGTTTGTTGTCGTACGCGCTCAAGATGTTCGGCGCCACGTCGTACACGGAGATACTAACGTACTGTGCGACAAGTGGGTACGTCAACCGCAGCTCGTCCTGGCATAAATCGTCCAGTTCAGCTGTGAGCTCGATGCCAGTGGGGCCGCCACCGACTATGGCGATGTGGAGTAGCTCGCGCGCACGTTCGGGGGTGACGTTGGGCAGAGAGGCCTTCTCGAGCAAGTCAAAGAGCGTCTTGCGCACCCTCATCGCGTCCGACACGTTCTTGATGAAGATGGCGTTCTCGGCCACACCGGGCGTGTCGAACGTGTTGGGAATACACCCGGGCGCCATCAGGAGGTAATCATACTCGACGTCGAACTCATCGTTGGCGAGTTGGGGATCTTCATCAAACGCCGGTGCACAGCGACAGGTCTTTGTGTGGAAATTGACGTCGAGAACATTGGCTTTGATGAAGCGCAACGCCGACCGCGCTTTACTGCGTACCGGCTCTTCGGCCAGGTAGAAGTTGAACAGACCTACCGCCGCAGAGGCGAGGAGTGGCGTGTATGCTGATGTGCGACGTGGAGAAATCAGAGTGATGGAATAGGCATTGAGATCGATGTTTTCGGCCAAATAGAAGCCTGCCCATCCGGAGCCAATGATGACCAGGCGAGGTTTGTTCGGAGCAGTCATTGTTTCTGTGAGGAGGCTCTGATATGGTTCTTATTCCTTGGCGGGAGGTGAACTCTACTCTGGGTGATGTTCTAGACGAAGGTAGGGCATATTATAGCTGCTCAAGTCGCGGACGGTTCGTCTTACCCAATGACTGAATGACAACTACATCCCCGATCTCGTATAGCGTCACGCTGGACTTCGGGCCTGGACAAACAATCAAAGCAAACGAGCTTACCTGATTGTCATGCTTGATTGGGGTGCTCGATCTTTTGACAAGTCTGCCTAGATTCTTGGGACGCAGTGCTCACTCGCTCAAATCCAGGGTCTGGAGCAACGTTGCAGAGCAGCCAATTGAATGACAGGGCTCTGAGGCCAAATCAAAAAACACGGAGGGGAAACCTTCAGGCCGGATTGCCCGACTGGTCGGTCATGTTTCATCACCTCAGCAGGGTGCAGACACCCTGGTTCGGCGCTTCAGACATGGAACCTCATTTTGCGCCGTCGACAGATCGAGATAGGCATGAGCAGGACGTTGGAAAAAGCAAAGGAAAATGTACTCGCCCAATATTGCCAAGCCGGACTGTAATATCTTTCTTCCGATGACCGACGGCCTGATCACATGATCACCTCGAAATATCAACGCACGTGAGCAAGACAACGCAAGGCTGAAGGGCTGGGTCGACAAAGAATAGGACACGACCTTTCAACGCACAATTCTCTTCTGCTGTCGGAATTTCATTGATCCATTCAACTCAATCAGTGGCCTCCAGAGATTGTTGCTGCCACCATGCAGTACAAGCCCCCGTGGCCATCCCTTGGTACTATCACCTATCACTTTTTGCTCCCTTCCTATCCGTGATGACAATTTCGAGGAATGTGCATCCTCCCAGAGCCCTAACGCTGCTTCCATCCATCCTTCAATGCTATCAGCCTTTTGTCGGCAAGAATTCTTTGTGTACAAGTACAGTCGCAATTAATGAAGAAAAGACCGGGCAATTCAGAAAGCCCTTTCCCCGGCAATAGGTGCATGGTCTCCGTGCAATAACAGTCTCGACATTCTGTCCGTGCTTTTCGCCATTTTTCCTTTTGCACAAGAATCGAATTCCCGACTCCATGAGGTAAAATAGAGGAGAGATGATGTTGCTGGTGCCTGGTGTCGTTTTCAGTTCACCATGCACTAATGGCCAGAACCATAGCTGCCGTTCCAGCCGCGGCCGCCACCGTATCCGCCATATGTACCGAAGCCAGTATTCGAGCCATACCCGCCGTATCCCGTGTTCTGATGAGTGTTTTGGTGGCCACTGCCCAATCCACCTGCGTACTGAGGATAGGCGCCGAAAGCCTGTTGGCCCGAATGCTGTGATGGAGGAGGCAGACCACCTTGCTGACCAGGGAAACTGTTCACGGCAGACCCAGGGCGGCCACCCTGCATCGAGGGACTTGGTCCGGACCCTTTAGCCGGATCCTCGGAATGAGCCCCATGCTGTTGAGCCAAGCCTTGAGCCTGTCCAAAACTCGAGGATGAGCGTCCGAAGGGGTCAGGCATCCCACCAAAGCCGGTGCTGCCCGCAGCACTCTGCTGAGCCTCAGAAGGCTGAGCCGACCCTGCTCGACCATAACCTCCCTCTCGCCCAAAGCCGCTGACATTCGCTGGGGACGACGAGTGCTCATAGGAGTAGCCTTGCTGAGGTTGTCCATACATGTTCGACTTGTACGTGTTGCCATAGTGATTTTGTCCATAGTTGTATTGACTACCATAGTATTCAGTCTCCTGACGTCGAACATCATCAAACATCGGCCGATTAGCTCCGTAACGGTGATTTATGGTGCCCATGTAATTGGCACCATACTGGGGATACTGCTGATTGTATGCACTCGGGTAACCATAACCGGGGTATCCATGACCTTGATTTTGCTGCATGTGACCAGAGGGTTGTTGAGTGGGAGGTCCGGGAATACCAGGCGCCGGCGTATTTTGACCACTGCCCTGCGCTTCCTGTTGACCCATTGCATGTTGGGGACGTGAGGTGGCATATTGCCCTTGGCTATCCGGAGCTGAAGTACCGAAAGTGCTGCCAGAACGCTGAGCATCTTGCCCATGACCATAGCCATAGTAATTGTAAGCTTCCCGATTGTAGTAAGATGAGTAGTCCGGTTGAGAGGTGGCAGTGCTGGGTTGGCTTGGAACTTGGTTGGAAAACGGTTCTTGGGTTTGGGCTTGGGTGGTTGGAGGTTGACCGAAAGGATCGAAAGTTTTCTGGCCCTGCCCGTATCTGTACTGCTCTGAATACGCCGAAGAGGTCTGGGGCGATGGTTCGTGGGCCGGTTGGGGAGCGGAAGGTAGACCAGATGCTTGTCGCTGAGCAGTCGATGGAGCCTCAGCCAACGGTTGGGTTGGAGCTTGCACGGGTGTTTGCTGGGCTTCAGGCACGGCTGGAGGCAAGGATGCACGAGGGGCAGCAGGGGAATCGTCCGGAAGTTGAGTACGTGTCTCTGGCTCTTCTCGATCTTCGTCGACATCCACGTCATCCGGTCCGTTCAGCCCCAGCTTGCCAAACTGTACAGCTGCCTTCTCAATAGCGTGATTTCCTGGCATAACTACTGCTTCCTGTTGTTCCATGACCTTTCTCGCGAAGCTTGCAGATCGACTTGTGCCTCCAGTGGCTTTCAAAGCGGTAGCAGCGTATCCAGATATTGGTCGAGCGGCGATCTTAGAGGGTTCCGGAGCGGCAAGTGGATCTTGGGTGCTTGCGACGGTGCTAGCAGCGGTGGCAGATTCGATAGGATGAGACGTGTCTGGCAGCTTCTCCAGATTCCGTTCTGTGAGTTTATCTTTAGGCGGTGTTAGATCTTTTCCTGTATCCGAATGCGGCGCGGATGGCAGCTCACTTGGTCCTTCTTCGTTGTAATCCACCGCTTCGATCGGGGGCGGGGCGATAGGCTCAGCAGGAGGTGCAGGCTCTTCAGTTGCTGGCTCCGGCTCAACCGGTACCTGTTCGTGTTGCGCAACAGCAGGAGGGGGTGGAGCAGGAGCCTTCTTGGGAGCGGGAGCAGGAGCAGGTTTAGCAAACAATCCAGCCCAGCCGCCGGGTTTGGCGGCAGCAGGTGCTGCAGCTGAAGCGGGTTTGGGCTCTTCGGTTTGCAAAGAAGCGAGTGAATCTTTTCCAGGTTCATTTGGCCAACTCTCTGGCGCCGGCGCAATCGCATCGCCATTTGTAGGAGCGTTGTCGAATGTCGCCGGAGCACCGTCTGCCACAGCAGAAGTGACAGAGTCCAAGCCATCAGTTGTCTGCGCGGCCTTTGTACCATTCGTGTGTGTAGCAGAGACAGATTTTGCACCCCGGCCACCCCTCGCACCGCGTTCAGCACCGCGACCTCTTCCTCGACCCTCAAAGCTACCACGGCCACGACCCCGAGTAGAAGCGTCGGTCGATGAAGGAGGAATTTCCTTGGGCTTTGGGTGTTTCTTCTTGACCTCACCCCATTGTGAGATGGTACCTGAAGCGAGATTGTTAGCACATTCGAGGATGGCAACGAAGCTGTTAGCTCTCTTACCACTTGAAATGCGGTCAACCGCAGCATTAACATCGCCGTCGGTCTCGTTCAAGGCATAGACCAGATCTTCATCGCTCCAACCAGGACAGATTTCTTTGAGAAGAGGGACTTTGTCACCGAACTTTTTGAGCAGTTCCCCGACCTCGCCTTGATCTTCTAGCGTTGCAGGAGGAATGTTCTCTTGCTCGTGATCTGGTTTGTGTTGTGATCTCGAAGGGTTGCGAGTGCCACGGAAACCGCCTCTGCCACCTCTAAATCCGCCGCGACCTCTGGTGCCGCTTCCGCGGCTTTGGACTTCTGCCATTGTATTGTAGGTATGAGGGATGCGGAGGGATGTTGGGTATGAGGATGGAAGGGAGGTATGGATCGTTGGCAGTTGACCAAGGGAGACGGTGACAATAATGGGAAATTAATGGAAGTCGCAGCTACTAAAAGAGCAGCCGGCTCCGCGGTGAAGGGTGGTCACAGGGTGAGGCAAGTGACGAGTTGGTAAGTTGGATCTAAAAGCACAGTGATGTTGACATGAAGACAGAGGATTGTGGCCGGAACACATTCAAGAGGCTTGTTTGGTTTCGAAAAGGCAAAAGCAAAGGCGGCCACAGATTCTGGGGGAGGGAATTGCCAAGCACCTGATACTTGGACGGTGCGAACAAACCAGGGCTTCCAGGCACGACGCCTACCAGAACCTAGCTGACTAGTGGGTGCGAGCTAACTATCTAGGGCTACCTATGGCCACCTAGGGGTAGTTAGTGAGGCAACTCAGCCCCCCCACACAAGTCTCAAGCAGCGACACCACCAAAGTCCATGGGCCTCATGCCACTCCTCCTCATCATTACTGCGATATCCCAAACACACTCGAGCGCACAATGATTGCGCCCTGATCGCGAGTCCAACATGAGACTTACCTCTTCGCTCGCCATTCGCAAGCTGCTCGCCTCGATCCACCCACCTCTTTCTCCCCAATCACCCCGAGAATCCAAGCAGCTCCTCAACGTCCTCGAGTCGGCCTTCCAGCGACGTCTTGACGAAACCCATCCCTCGCCCAAAGTAGCAGCAACCCCCGTTGAGAACCAGCACGGCTCTGAAACAATTCCAGATCCGGCTCAAAGAGTCACACATTCCACACATTCTCACCTAGATACTATCCTTGGTCATCCGCTCTTCAAGCAACAGTCGCTTACCTTTCTTCAAACCCACGGTCTAGCTGCCACGGCCGTTAAGACCTTTGACGATGCTCTATTGAAGCAAGGTCTTGATTCGGACCTTGTCCAGTCCTGCGCTTTACAGTATCTTCAGGGTCGTGAGAAACGAGGGAAATCTCCTAGGGATGAAGGACTTGGACCAAGATTGGCTCGCTGGTTCAACGCCATGACAGGCGCTGAGAAGAAAGATTTACTGCTTAATGAAAAGTATATGGAGCCTCTGATCTCGGTCATGTATGCCGATGGCCTGGAACGTGAAGTCTGGCAATGGCTGCAAGTTCTTTACGAACGATCCTTTAGCAACTTCATCTTCATCCCCACCGACGACTATGCTCCTGATGCCGTCGCTTACCTGCGTGCGGAAGATCGCCTTGTGTCTTTGATGATCAAGGAGACCGCTCGCCGCGGACGACTACAGGAAGCTGTACAGCTATATACGCAGGCATACGAGTACCGTCTGAATTCCGGAAGATCCGTTCTTTCAGAGGGGAAGTCTTCCCCCGAGCCTCTCCAGCGGTCATGGCGTCAAGTGGCCGGAGCAATACTCTTACAAAATAAACGCAGCAAAAGAGGTCTACCTGCAAGCCTCTATGACCTGGTATTAAAGTACAGCTTGACGATCGATCATTCTCCTTTCGACCCGACTATCCTCCATATCTACCATCCAACATCTCCAACCGCTCATCCGCTCTTCCAGAAACTCAAAGATCCGTCATTCCTGGAACAATTTGCGAAGTGGCAAAAGAACCCCAACAGATTCGTTCGGAGGATCCTACTTGTCTCTGTGTTGGATGCGGCCGAGCTTTCCTTGAGCCATGGCCATCCTAGTGAAGCGAGAGAGTTCCTCGATTTTGCCGAAAGAACCTATCCCGACTTTCTACGTTCCCATGAAGAAAAGACTGACACGGCGGAGAGACTGCAATTGGCTCGCCAGGAGATTCTGGTGAGAAAAGAGTTCCGGTCGTCGGGCTATGCCACTGCTCCGGAGCTGCAAGTGCTGGTGTGAGCGACGTGGAGCGACGCCCCCTCTCCAGAACCGAGGAAATGCAACACAACTGATCAATGAAAATGAGTCCTGCTCTGTTCCAAGCACCTCTTAAACTACTGGCAAGTCTGTGCAACAACAGATCGGGTGATGATTGAAGAACCACCATGCCAGCAAACCTCCGCCCCTCGCGCTGTCTGAGTTGGCATCAGTCGAATCGAGAAAGAGCACAGCGCGACCGGTTGGGCCGAAGGACCCGTCACCGAAGAGACGATCCATCGCGTTCGGGGTCGATTTGGAGAAAAACGAGCACTCCAATCGCGGGGCACAGGATGAGACAATGTAGGAAGGCCTCCAGTGAGCCGCGCGACGCAACCGAGTTATTCGAAAGAGTCGTGGTACACCTACCTATATGATGGCTCTGCCATTTACGGGTCCCGGCAAAGAGCGAAGAGAAGAGGTTGAGATCAAAAGATCTTGCCCTTTGGTGGTTATGTCAATGCGACATGATAATGCTCGGATTGAGCCCCTTTCCGATTCATAGCCGTGATACACAATGGGACTGGGACTTTGAAGATTCGGGCCATGCAGCAGGCAGTGCCCTTGTCGGATCCCAAGTCAATTTAATGTTTCCTGTATTCTCGTTGACAAGAGCTGTAGCGAAAATACAAGCAAACTTCACTATAGATGACCATAATATTGGTTTCTTGAGCGTGACTCCTCTAGAGAGCGGGGATAGCTTTGTTGATGCTATAGAGTTGGGATGCCATGGCATGATACGCAGCTCTACCACTCGCACACATCTACACTTTATACACCGCATGCTATGCCGTGCTGTGCCGTGCTCGCGCTGTGTCGCCTGACGCGCGCTGATTCAGACCTTCGCCGGCTCGTCCTTATCCGTGCCCTTCAACGAGTCCATGCGGGCCTTCATGTCCTTGATCAACTTGGCCATTTCCTCGTCCGTCCGGCCGGGGCTGGGGACCTTTCTGGCCCTCTGCACGGCGGGCCGTTCCTCGATGCGCTTCAACCACTTCTCCACGCCGGGGAACTCGGTGATGTCGATGTCGAGGAAGAGCGGGCCCGCGCGCACCCACGAGTAGTTTGCAATGTCGGCGATGGTGTACTTGTCCCCGGCGAGCCAGTCGGCCTTGGAGAGGCGGATCTCCAGCACGCCGTACAGGCGCTTGGTCTCGTCGAGGTAGCGCTTGATGCCGTAGGCCGAATACACGGGCGCCATGGCGCGGAAGTGGTTGGCTTGTCCTGTTTTTTTTTTTAAAGGAAGAGGGGGGATGTGTTTTAGCCCATCATCGCCTTCACACAGTCTTTCCTTGGGAAAGGATTGGTCTAAAGCAGAAAACCTCGAGAGGGCGGAAACGTACCTTGCATGGGCCCGACACCGCCCATCTGAAACATCAACCAGCTCATCATCTCGTAGTAGAGCGCACTGCCGTGCTCGTACGTGAACTTCTTCTCCTTGTCATACAGGTCCGCGAGGTACAGCATGATGGCACCGCTCTCGAAGACGCGGAGGTCACCATCCTTGAGCGCGGGGATACGGCCATTCGGGTTGATCTCGAGGAACCACGGCTCCTTTTGCTCGTTGGTCATGAGGTTGATGGCGCGGACCTCGTATTTGAGTCCCAGTTCCTCGAGGACGATGGCCGGTTTCAACCCGTTGGGCGTCCCTGCCGTGTAGAGAGTGAGCGCATTGAACGGAGGAGCAGACATTGTGCCGGGGGTTTGCGTCGAGACGGGAGTCTTCTCTGGTGAAGGGTCAAGTCTGAGTCGTCTCTTCTGGCGCACCGCGTGGATGGTCCCAGGTTGAAATAGTGATGGACTTTTTTCTCTAAGCCTCGTACTCGGGTTCGCAAAGGTCGCAGTACGTGAGGTGGGACTGGCGACAGGGGAGAGGATTCCAAGACTTCGTATGGTTCGCGATGTGGTGGTCTTCTTTATAGGTGCCGTGAGGGAGCCAGTCAGTCCAATGACGTGGCGAACTGCGCGTGTTGTCCTCATGACTTGATTGGTTTTGCCCCTCGTTTATGCGACGAACCGAGGTGGGTGTGTGGTGGGTGCAGGGTCGTGTTTGCGGAAACCTATTCTCATATCAGTAATGGCACTGGTGAACGTCTACCCAGACCCCGACCTTTACACGGCTTAAGTCCAGCAAGTAGCAGGTTTCCTCAACGTTGTAACAGTGATTGGGTAGTTCGGGAGTCGGCAGCGGTGGTCGCTAGGAACGACACCTTCAACTAGAGTCATTGTTCCAAAATGGCTGCATATTTCCCCTGAGCTTAGAAAGCAGCAGACACCACTGGTGCCACCCAGGTGCCACCAGACAGATGACGGGCGGTATTGATCGGCGTTAACCTCATCTCGTCCGTCGAGTTGATCGTACCAACCGTCACTAACGGACAAAATCTCCTCCGCAATCTGATAACTACATCAATTGAAGGCTTCTCGGCCGATACAGCATACACGGAGAGACAACGCGCCCGACAAAGGGCCTGAAATGTTTCGACTATCTTCTCAATCCTCTGACAAGTAGTCCAATGGAACATCTTGATACCAGATCATAGCTCACAGAAAGGTAGTAATACAGCCCAATTGGCCCAAATCGTCATGTTTCCTCGCCATTGTTGCCAGGGCTCCTGTTTTCGCTCCTGTAAACCTTCGCTGCCTTTCAATCAACTCAGGTCGCCGGGTTTGTGCTTTGGTTTGTCGGTACCCTGCTCACAGGTGCAGAGGTTCCATCAGAATTCTCCCCCAGAGCCAACAGTCCCTCTTTGTGGAAGGGCTTCTTTGCCTGGGCAGCTTTCTCCTCGCTATACCTCCATATCCCAGCTGTCTTGTCCGGCGCCACGCCCTCCCAGCTGTTGACCCCAAAGTTGGTCACCATCTTTACCAGATCTTTGAACGTCTTTTCCAATCTATCCTCGGGGTCTGCTTGAACGAAGAACACCCGTTCCCAGTCTCGCTTCTCTTCTTGCTCCTTCTTGCGTAACGCCCGTTGAGCATTCTCGATTCTGGACTTGAAATGTGACGCGGCCTCCATTTCGCCCTTCTCAATGCTCTGGGCAACTCGTGCCCACGCTTTCCGACTCTCAAAAACATCCTGCTCCTCTGTGGGCGCAACGTTTAGCTTGGACAGCTTAATGTCTGATGGTTTGAAGGTTTCAATTTCTCTGCCCTTCTTGCTGTCGCCCTCTCTGATGGTGAATGAGTCTGACCATTGTCCGTCCGCCGTGTACAGAGGGGTTTTCTCCGAACCCTCACCTTCCCTCCACAACGACGCGGTGAAACTGTTCTTCTTCCCTGACAACCAGCCTCTGCCAGTAAAGTCGATCTTGGCGACGTACCCCGTGCTCGAGACGATATGTATGAATTTGCTCAACTCGACAAAGGGTGCTCCATAGATGAGATTCTCGATGTGCAGAGCAGGCAGAGTGATGAGGTATGCCTCTGCATGGTCGCTGCCCGGAGGGTGTAGGGTCAAGAGAGCGTGTCCAATTTGTTTAACTTGGATAGTTCTACTAAAACTGGCTTTCTGTCCGTTATAGCCCTGCAGCCGTATGCGGTGTTTCTCGTTGGTGATGCAGTAGGCCGTGACTGGAGGATGGTGGCTGACTTGCTCCGAGACCAACGTTGTCTCGCCGAATTCGTCGTTCCATTTTCCCAAGAATAACTCGCCTAGGAATGGGTTGAGTGGCTTCTTCTCCGACCCAAGTTTTTCAGAGCGAGAGCAGTACTGTTGTTTCAGAGTGTTGAGCAACCACTTCAATACCAGCAGAGCGCGTCGGGCAGGATCCTTCTCTTGGGTCGGCGCAATGAATAGCGACGTGTTTTCAGCCCAGTACGCAGAGAACTCGACTAATGATTGAGTGGAGAGGATGAAGGCCGGTGCGGTTAGCGAGGACAAGTCGCCATTGAAAGAGGCAATCGACTACGCGCATTTGTCAGCCGCGTCCAAAGTCACATCCCTATCTTATGGACGCACCTTGAGGAAAGAAGACCACGATCCTTTGCTTTGGGTTGGTACCGCGCCACCTTCGACTTCGGGCATGGTGTGCTCAACTCGGCCACTTGCGCAGTGCTGATGAAGTGAAGGGGCTATCGTGTGCTCACGAACTTTGGCTTCGTCTTACGCTGAGGAAGAAGGAGGAACAGTGAAGAGATGGTTCGCAGAACGAAAAAAAGAAGGGAAACGACGATCTTCATAAAACAAGCGAGCGAACACTCGTTGATCAAGGGAAATGGTTGACGAGGACATCTGTTCAATCGTGACAACAAGCGTCTCAATGTGGTTGGAGGGAGTGAAAATCCACCTTCAATTTCGGTGACGTATGGTGGCTGAAGCCGAATGGAGCCACCACTTAGACATGGGCACGGCGTCACCGCCACGTGTGAAGATTGAGGTTGCTATGGAATAGAACTATTCTCCTTTTGGCTGCACGTTGGAAGGTATGTAGGATAAAGCTAGGGTACAGGACCTTTTCCTCGCTTAAGAAGTTCTGCTTTCACTAATAATGGAGACGGACAACCGTCATCTCTCCAAAAAACAAGATATAAGAATGCGCAGCTGCCTTCATGCATTCCCAGTTCTTGACGTTGCAAAGTGGTCTCACAGAGTGTTGGCGGTGTTGAAGTCCTTCAATGCCTCGGCCACACGCGCGCTCATGGTCTTCTCACCTTCACGCACCCACACGCGGGGATCGAAGTACTTCTTGTTGGGTTTGTCCTCGCCCTCTGGGTTGCCAACTTGCTTCATGATGTAGTCCTTCTTGTTCAACACGTAATCACGGATACCAGTTAGGTAGGCGTATTGCAGGTCAGTGTCGAGATTGACTTTGACCACACCATAGCTGATGGCATCGGCGTATTCCTTCTTGGTCGAGCCGGAGCCACCATGGAAGACAAGGAACACAGGCTTGTCTGACTTGGTAGACTCCTTCTCCTTGACGTATTTCTGGTGCTTGTCGAGCAACTCTGGGTGAAGACGGACATTGCCTGGCTTGTAAACACCGTGGACATTACCGAAGCCTGCGGCAATCGAGAAGTACGGGGAGATCTTCTTCAAAGTCGAGTAAATCAAGTGGATATCCTCGGGTTGAGTGTAGAGGGCGTTGTTGTCGACATCCTCGTTGTTGACACCATCTTCCTCACCACCGGTGATGCCGATTTCCTGTTCTCGGGTTAGTGATCAACGGACCCGGAACGGAATATAGAAACTTACCATCTCCAGCCACTGCTTCATGGGGGCCGCCCGCTTCAGGTACTTGGCCGTGGTCTCAATGTTCCAGTCAACAGCTTCTTCGGACAAGTCAATCATGTGTGAAGAAAACAGAGGCTCGCCATGTTCCTTGAAATAGGCCTCATCCGCATCCAACATGCCATCGAGCCAAGGGAGAAGCTTCTTTGCGCAGTGGTCGGTGTGTAGAACAACAGGGACACCGTATGCGGGAGCGACACAGCGGATGTAGTGAGCCGCAGCCACTGCACCAGCAATGGATGCTTGTTGCTTGTCATTCTTGACACCCTGTAAAATGCTTTCAGTTTGCCATTCTTTCTGCCGAGCTCATATTCAAACGGACCTTGCCACAGAAGTAGGCAGCACCTCCCTGAGAGGCTTGGAGGATGATGGGAGCATTTGCATCGCGAGCTGCTTCCAGAGCGGCCACCACGGTCGAGGAGGAGGTCACGTTCTAGGGACCGGAGGTTAGTGATAGAACCATTGAAATGCAGCCGGGGAGCTTACAATGGCGGGGATAGCAAAATTGTGCTCTTGGGCGTACTTGAAGAGATTCAAGACGTCGTCACCGACAATAACACCCTCCTTTCGCGACAAGATATCCTTGACACCCATATTGACGACTGCTGGTGGGGCTCTTGGAGGTTGAATCGAGGAGGGGTGGAAGACACAAGATCAAGGTCTCTTTGATGAGTCTAAGCTATGGATAAGCGGCGGCAGTATATACCACGGGAGAAGGTGAGGGCAAGGATGAATGAGAAATATGTGAGAAAAGAATAGAATCGAAGTAAAAGTGAGTTCGGCTTGTGGGAAAGGATCAAAACGAAAGGCCGCTGGCTGGTTTTCCGAAGCGGCGATGGGAGAAAAGTGGTGAGGGGCAGCGATTGCAGCGACTGGAGCAACCAGCAATGACATCGAGCTTCTTTTTGCCCACTGGTGCCACTGTCGTTATTCATTCCTCGGCCAGCGAGTTTTCATTCGCTTTCCCACCAAACCCCCACAGCCATGGCCCTCTCCCTCGTCCCGGTTCTCTCCTTTTGCTCTCGATGTCTCGGCCACGGAAATTCTACAAGTACCATTCGATCCTTTTGCCCTGCGGAACTTTACGGGATTCACTCTGGCCCAGAGCGCAAGTCCTTTCCCCACGATGAACCAGTGGACCCGTTGGGGACGAAGTCTGGGCAGAAGCAATGAGCTGGTCGGACAGTATTGCCCGGCCTTGGGTTGACGGTACAATTCTCCCACTGACGGCCGACAGCCTTCGGAGGATCTCAGATCACTAGGACAACGGATCGGTACCCACAACGATCGTGAACTGAACTTCATAAGACGACTATTCGCTCTACTGAAGATCAAACCCTTCGCCAGGCTTGCTTCCTCTGCCACGAGCAATAAGGCTATCTAAACAATGCGTTGTGGAGTGAGTGGTCACTGCGCACCAATGCCGAGGGAGCATCACCGAGGGTAGAAGCGCAATGCA